GTGGTACCCACAAAGGTCACTCACTGTGAATGTGGTACCCACAAAGGTCACTTGCTGTGAAGGTGGTACCCACAGAGGTCACAGGAGTCACTCGCTGTGAAGGCGGTACTCACAGAAGTCACAGGGGTCACTCGCTGTGAAGGTGGTACCCACAAAGGTCACTTGCTGTGAAGGTTGTACTCACAGAGGTCACAGGGGTCACTCGCTGTGAAGGCGTTACTCACAGAGGTCACAGGAGTCATTTGCTGTGAAGGCGGTACCCACAAAGGTCACAGGGGTCACTCGCTGTGAAGGCGGTACTCACAGAGGTCAAAGGCCACGGGTCACAGGGTCAACACGTCATTGTTCTTTAACCTCGTGATATTTTTATTAAATGTGCGTTGTTCCCCTTTTCACGCGAGTCCGAGTCCATGCTTTGATGGGTTTGTTTGATGGTTTTGTTTGCTGTTTGATTGTTTGTTTATTATTTGTTTGTTTGATATGTATTTGATTGTTTGTCTATTGTTTGTTTAAATAGGAAGTAATACATACATCTTGTTTTTCAAATGTCAGTATTTTACGCTCCCATTGACAAAATTTAGATCATATAGGAGATGGGCCTCCCACCCTGCCTGTCTGGACCAACATAAGCTAAAAGGGATGCAACGCATACAGCAGAAAGACCGAGGTACTCGATAAGAATTCCCCTCCCCTTCCGGAATTGAGCTCAGGTCTCCTTTGTGTGACAGCGAGGTGCTTAAAACTTAAACACCACAACACAGACGCCAGTTATGTAAAAAAAAGTGTTGTATGAGGGTGTAAAACTTTACACTTATGAGTCCTCATGTAAAGTTGAATTTTGCATGGAAATGTCTACGTTGTTGGGCACCTCTGTCTTCTTGGTTGGCTATGTCGTTAGCTTAGAATTACAAAGTTTTGTTTGACCTTTTGGGGGTCTTTTAAGAGTTACTAAGACCATGCGATCACAGATGGACATGTTCCGACTGCAGTGACCCCAACACAGTGGACAAGTAAGGATCAGACACCTAGAGGCTCTATCTGCTCTGCTATCAAAATAGAAAGATTATTCAGAGTCGTTATCATTCAAGATATTCCAAGAATTGCTTTCGAAAAAGCTTGACATGTTGTAAAGCTCAAAAAGTTTAACGTTAAATTTCTTTTCAAAACTAGGTGCTGAACATATAGAGCTTTGTAATTGTAATTCTAGGGTAACAAATGATATTTATATCCCACTTCGCCTGGACTGGTCTTGTCAAGTGAAAAGCCCGCCTCCTAAATGATGCACGTACTGTCAGTGATAACAGAAAAGCCTTTACAAGAGATTTACTCAGCAGACTAGAGAGGCAAAGACATCATGCTCCAGAATTGGCGGCATCTCAAGCCCATATGTGTGTGTGTGTGTGTGTGTGTGTGTGTGTGTGTGTGTGTGTGTGTTTATTTATGTGTGTGTATGTGTGTGTGTTTATGTGTGTGTGTGTTTATGTGTGTGTGTGCGTGCGTGTGTGTGTATCCGTCAAAAGGGTTTCATCATCATCATCATCATCATCATCATCATCATCATCATCATCATCATCATCATTGCCTTTCTCACCCTGCACGAGGCTATAGTCCACGGACCAACACTTTCCACTTTTCTCTGTCCTGGGCTAGCCTCTTGATGTTATTCCATGTGTTACCACTTTTCTGTACATCGTACAGGGTTTGCTTGACAGAAAAAAATTCTGAATGCAAACAAGAAATCAAAATAGAAAAAGATCGTATAAAAAATTCTAGAACTTTATTTTATGAAGTTGCAGAAATGATGTATGAGAATAGGGCCACCACAGCCAGCCTCAAGGGCCTACCTGCAGCATGGGATTCGATGGCTCCAAGGCAAAAGGAAGGCTAAGAAAAAGATGGGTCGGTGAAGTTAAAAAGATCTTCTAAAAAAAAAAAAACTAACATGACGATCTAAACAGCTGTAGAATCTCAAAGGTAATTATTTTTATTTTTAGGTCTCGAGCAGCTGTGCCATACCAAATATTAGATCTATTCTCCTCCAATTCGAGCATAGAGAGGTCGTGTTTGTTTGTGGTTCTTCCCAGAGATCCGGGTGTTTCTTTTCAGCTTCAGCACTTGCCTTTAGGAGAAGTGTAAAAGTACCGCTCTCCGAACATCTTCTCCCAGTTCTGTAGCGCCCCGCTGTGGTGGTAGTTGACTTCTTGCCAGTGGTCTGTGGATACAACGAGATCAACAGGACTTAGTTTTGTAAGGGGTTTTACGGCGCTCGCAACTGCATAAGGTCATGAATTATATGAGCGCGCATCTACAGGACTTGCAAGGATAATCCTACAGGACACTGTGCACGGAGGAGAGATGGAAAGGCAGGAAGAAAAAGAGATGGGAGGAAAACATGACGGAATGGACAGGTTTAAAGTTGGGGGGAGCCCTTTAGCTGTTCTCGGGGTTTTATACACCTCGCATAATTTTGCAAAATTTGATCATTTTTAGCATAAATTCTGATTTTTTTCCTTTATCATCCTTTGTTAAAATTAAGAGAGTCGCATAATTTCACATTTTTTGGCTTAGTTTGCATAATTTCAGATTTTTTGGGGTGGCATAAAACCGCGAGGACAGTTTTAAAAAGGCTGAATATAGAGAAAGAATGAGAAAAGTGGTTGTCCGATCATCCTTGGTGCCCCAACGGTCATCTAGACAAAGAGACCGAGACGAGATGGACTCTAGTCTGTGGACACAGGGAAAATAAAATAGAAGAAACAGAAAAGTCGTTTCTTATGGGACTGTTGGGAATTTCTTGGAAGAAAAAGAAAGCGCAGCGGTGACGTGCTCCGCTGTCGCACGCAGGAGACTCGAGTTCGATTCCCAAGTTGGAAGAATGTTTAATAATCGAGGATCTCAGTCTTCTTGCTGGGATGACGTAGTCAGGGTTGAAAGCCCGCCTCCAAAATGATCTAAATTACGATTCTCTACAATTTATTTAATTACTTTTTTGTCTTTTTTTTCTTTTACGTTCTTTTCCTTTTAAAAAAATTGTTGTTGTTTTTTGTTGTTGTTTTTTTAGGGGGGGGGTTGGACGGGGGTAGCTTAAAACACCTAGGATTTTTTAAATTATTATCATTTAAAAGAGATGAAGGGTTAATGACTTACTGAACCAATCGGCCCTCCTCCTGACGTCATAGCACTCTCGCGGCAAGCTGTACGGGAGTTCCCGCAAGTCGCCCTTCCCCGAGACGGTACAACAACAGCGCATGCGCACATCCGGCACGCCCACAGTGCCATAGACGTGGGGACCGAGACAGAAGGGCCTCATGGGACAGTTGTGTTGCACTCTGGAAGAACACGGACATTTCTGTTTTGTTAGGTTTTGTAAAGTTTTACATAACATCACAACTGAAAGAGCTGCGGAGCTGGCCTACCATAGAAAACTGCATCTCCCCTCGAAGCATAACAGCAACAGAGGGTGGAAAGGTAAAGTAATTAGGTTACGGCGCTCGCAACTGCATTAGGTCATATGAGCGTCAAAGGGTGGATGTCAACAGAGAAGTCCAAACAGGGAATCAGGCTTACTCTGCTCACCTCTCTAGCTAGCCTCAACAGCACAAAGTCTACTTCGACTATCAAGGCACCCCGGTAATAGCAGTTGACACGAGAGTGACAAGCATGCAAAAGAAGTAAATGGAAAATCACGAAAGTAAGAATGAGGAAAGAAAAAGCAACAGTTCCCCCTATGTTGTTCCGACACAGTATGAGCATGACATTGATAAATCAGCCTATTTACAATTCTACTGAGCATAGGAACATGTTAATATCGCCCCTTTGGAAATGGCCTCAAGACACTTCAGTCAGTGGCACTGCCCTTGGGGGGGGAGGGGGGAGGGGGGAGGTGGACGATGATTCACGACTGGGAAATCGAAATTTAAAACAAGTACCCCCCAAATCTAAGCGCGTAAAATTGCGAGACGGCCGAGTTTTCTCGTGTTAAACTTTAGTCAATTAAAAACTAAATAAATATGCAATCATAAGTATCAGTTTCTCGTTCACCATGGAGAAGGAAAGACACAGAAAACAGTGGTATCATTTTTATTAGTGTTTACAAAAATTAAAACCAGCTAATAGTTGGATGAAGTTGTCCAAATCTGGCTTCAGCCACAACTGTTTACCTTGAAAACGCGCCGTCTGCGTTATCTACATTTAGCTACACGTTAGAAATGTTGAGTTTCACAACGTGTCAAGCTTTTCCGAATGCAATTCTTTGAATATCTTGATAACCACTCCGAATATTCTTACAGTTTTGAGAGAGCAGATAGAACATTTATTGGTTTCTGACCTCATGGTCTGAGTAGCTCAAAAACGGCCAAAAATGTCAGATACAAATGCATAATTCTAAGATGATGAATTGTTAAGCTTACGAGGATGGGATTTTTTTTCCTTCAGAGACTTATATTTCTTTAAGTTGTAGGTTCTTTGAGTGTAATTTAGTATTTTAAAATAAGAAACAAAACGTTGAAATTAAAGACCAGGTCCAAGAACAAATGTGCTTGTGTATTTATGTGTGTGTGCTTACGTGTGTGTGTGTGTGTGTGTGTGTGTGTGTGTGTGTGTGG